CGCGGGAGAAAACCCGAACAACTAGAGACCTACATACTAACACCCGCGAAAACCTCAGAAAACATATATATATTACTATTATTACTATGTATAAGTAAAATGGACCTAGATAATACACTGTTAGCACCAATGTATGTTAAAGGAAAATGTACAAATAAAATATTTTTTTAAAAGTACTCTATTTTTAAAAAAGCAGAAACAGATTGGTTCTTCAGCAATATAGAGAGGAGGGTGAAGCACAGACTAACCTGAGGAACTATTTCTTCAGCTAAAACCAAAGCCTTTTGGTATGCTGCATCCCCTTCCTCATTCTGTGGTACTGCGTGATTAAGTAGCCCCATGGAGAAAGCCTCTTGGCCATCAATCTGTCTGCCAGTAAAAATAAGCTCTTTGGCAAGGCCAATGCCAATATAGCGTGATAAGCGCTGTGTTCCACCTAGATAGGAAAAAAATGCAAAATTCCTCAATCAGATTTTACAGAATGCTGTTATATGCAATTTCAATTTCAAGGAGAGAAGTAACGTAGAACTAAGGAGAAATTTTCTAACAGTGGGAACAATTAACCAGTAGAAAGGCTTGCATTCAGAAGTTGTGCGTGCTCCATCACTGGAGGCTTTTAAAATGGGACAGGACGGCCATTTTTCTGGAATGGTTAATCAGGGATTGGATTGGAAGACCTCCAAGGTCCCTTCCAACTCTGTTATTCCATTCTGTTATTCTGTTATTTAATTCCACAAAGAATCATCCATATCGCTAAAGTTAAAAGTAGTGATTATGATGCTTCTCCTAAATGCTGCTGATGGCTCTTTGGAGATTTATTTGGGTTGAAATCCAGTCTTTGCTAGCCTATTGTCATCAAATCAGGTTCTTACAAACCAGCCCTGTAAGATAGGCCAGGTCAAGAAACAAGAGCAGGAGGAATTTGAAAGAATGTTTTTCAGAGGAAAAACATAAGATGGTAGAATGAAAAGCTGCCCACGTTTCTCTCTGTCTCAGGTGACATTAAACAAAATCAAGGTGGGGTTAGAACTATATCTTCTTTTTTGAATATTCCTCTTGTATACTTCTTTCATACTTTCCCTAAAGCCATATCTAAACTTCTTTATACCTGTATAAATTATATTGGTATAGTGGAACCTCATCTTAATAGAATAATTGGTATAAGCAATTTTCTGATACTTCTTAATGTCTTTTAAATATCAAAGTATGTTATAAAAGTGATTTCTGGTAATTGCTTGATGCTAAACATTGCACAAATAATGCAAGGAAAGCCTCCGGAGCCCAGGGAGAGAAAACCCCTCCCCCGCAGTGGTACAGGAGGCTGACTAGGCCACACGCACCATGGCCACGTCCATCCAGCAACCGGGCAGAGAACCCATTGCTAAGATTTTTGAAGCCCACCCCTTCTTACCTGCACCAGGGAGAAGTCCCCTGGTAGTTTCAATTAAACCCATTTTAGCCGACGATGCTGATTTGAAAAAAAAAAAAAAGACATATACAAGATCAAAATATTAGTATAATATTAATATAAAGGTAGCACACATTTAACAAATCTTAAAAATACTACAGTTTGGCTGGACCAAGTTCATAAGACAGGGCAATAATGTCAACAATTAGCTTATGATTTTTAAATGTTACAGGTTGAATTAAATTAACTGTTTTCAGAATAGGAACCAAAAGTATCGGTTATAGACGTACTCCTCCACTTATGACCACAATTGAGCCCAAAATTTCTGGTGTTAAGTGAGACACTTATTAAATTAGTTTTGCCCCATTTTACAACCTTTCTTGCCATAGTTGTTAAATGAATCACTGCAGCTGATAAGTCACTAATCTGGTTATTAAGTGAATTTGGCTTCCCCATTGACTTTGTTTGTCAGAAGGTCGCAAAAGGTGATCACATGACCCCGGGATGCTGTAATGGTCATAAGTATGAACCAGTTGCCCTGCATTTGAATTTTGATCACATGAGCATGGACATGCTGCAAAGGTCATAACTGTAAAAAATGGTCATGAGTCACTTTTTTCAGTGCCGTTATAACTTTGAACAGTCACTAAATGAACTGTTGTAAGTCGAAGACTACCTGTAGTTATATTCTCACCTGCTACTCGGAGATCACAAGCTAGGGCCATTTCCAAGCCGCCACCCAAGGCATAACCATCGATTGCAGCAATAGTCGGCATTGGTAATGCAGCTGGAAACATTACAGAACAGGATCATGAAGAGCGTTTTTGCAAAAATGGCATAATAAAAGAATACACAGACACACACACAGACACACACACACACGTGTGTATATATATATATATACATATACATACATACACACATACATATATATAATAACAAAAGCAACAAGAATCTAGTAAAGAATCTACTGGAGAAGGAAAAATATAAAGAACAAATGTCAATAATATACAAGTGGTCCTTGACTTACAACCACAACCGAGCCCAAAATTTATGTTGTTAAGTGAGACAGATGTTAAGTGAGTTTTGACCTGTTTTACAATCTTTCTGGCCATAGTTGTTAAGTGAATCACCACAGTTTTTAAGTTAGTATCACGGTTGTTAAGTGAATCTGGCTTCCCCAATAACTTTGCTTGTCAGAAGGTTGCAAAAGGGGATCCTGAGTTACTGCAACTGTCATAAATGTGAGCCAGTTGCCAAGCATCTGAATTTTGAGCATGTGATTGTGGGGATGCGGCAACAGTCCTAGGTGTGAAAAATGGTCACAAGTCCCATTTTTCAGTGCCATTGTAATTAGAATGGTCATTAAATGAATGGTTAGAACTACAGTTTAGGGGAAAAAATCCCATGATTGATGAAATGAAAAAGGATTGCCTTACAAGCTAACTTTGGGGAGGATGTGCAAGAGTGCATGGTGGTACACAGGTGCTGGGAGAGGCATGGCAAGATTCAGGGATGCCCAAGTTTATACACAAGGGCAGAGGGGCTGGAGGAGAGTTACTCAGTGACTTTCCTTCCAGTTTCCCTATTGATCATCTGGGAAAGCTGGCAGGGAAGATCACAAATGGCAATCACATGATTGTGAGGCATTGAAACACAGGAAGTAATCCAGGGTGGGTTCCGGCTGCCGCTACTACTAGTTCACTCAGGGATGCGCTGCACGCGCATGTATAAAGCAACAAAAATTGCTGGCAAAAACAAGATGGTGCTGCCAATGGCACCACCAAGAGAACCAATTTGGGGGTGTGGCAGGCCTGGATGCTGCCGGTTCCAGCAACCCAGACTACCAAGTTACTACCAGTTCAGCCAAACCAGGCCAAACTGGTAGGAACCCACCTCTGGATGTAATAAGTTGTTTGTTATGATCACCTGACTGCGGGGATGCAGGAATGGCTGCATCCGAGGACCAGTTGTAACCACCATTCCTTCAGCAATGTCATAGCTTCAAATAGTCACTAAACAAATGGTTGTAGGTCATGGGTGTCCCACCTCTTGGCTTGCCTGGGCTTTACTGACATATAAAATATATAATATAGTTAATGTATATGTATCACATTAATAATGTGAAACGTGTACAATCTTGTGGGATACGTTACTAGCTGTCTGAGGCTGCGTGCAGCCTGCAAGCTATGGAGTAGGCATGCCCGTTGTAAGTCAAGGACTACTTGTAAAGTTAAATGGTCCCTAGAAAACATTGCTGAATCATTTACAATCTTATACCAGGAGTGTCAAACTCAAGGCCTGGGGCTCAGATCTGGCCCGTGAGATGCTTAGATCTGGCCCGCAGGGCCACCCTGGAAACAGTGAAGGACTGGCCTGTGGTGCCTCTGCCAATGAAAATGGAGGCCTTCCTGAGCTCTGTTTTCGCTGACAGAGGGTTGCAGCTTAAAAGGGGGCTCAGGAGCCTGTTTTCTCCGGCAGAACTCTCGGGCCACCACAGGCTCCCCTGACATGAATGTTGAACCCTGGCCATGCCCACTCCTCCCCCCAAGGTCAAACACAATCCTGTGGCCCTCAATGAAATTGAGTTTGACACCCTTGTCTTATAGGATGATGCTTCAAGTAGTACTTGTAGTTTATAAATATGTACAAAAAACAGCTATGGTCAAGAAAAAAGAAAAGATCACTCTACATACCAATACCAAAAAGAAGAATGCTCAAACTATCAAACTATCGCAGTGATCTCACAGGCTAGTAAGATAATGTCCATGATATTTGGAATATATATATATATATATATATATATATATGTGTGTGTGTGTGTGTGTGTGTGTGTGTGTGTGTGTGTGTGTGTGTGTGTGTGTGTGTGTACAGACATACACACANGAAACTCAAATACTTTGGCCACCTAATGAGAAGGAAGGACTCATTGGAGAAGAGCCTGATGCTGGGAATGATTGAGGGCAAAAGAAGAAAGGGGAGACAGAATGAGGTGGCTGGATGGAGTCACTGAAGCAGTAGGTGTGAGCTTAAATGGACTCCAGAGGATGGTAGAGAATAGGAAGGCCTGGAGGAACGTTTGTCCTCCTCTATCCCCTTCTCTCCCTCAGGCTTGCCCAACAGAAGCCTCCCTTATCCTTCTTATCCTCTTCTCTTCCTCAGCCTTGCTCCAAAGAAGTCTTTTCTATCTTATCCTATCCCCTTCTCTCTCTCAGCCTTGTCCCACAGAAACCTCTCCTATCTTATCCCCTTCTCTCCCTCAGGCTCCTCTTCAAATTCCCAGCCAGTAAGTCGGATGAGTCACATGCTGGCCATGCCCAGGTGGCAGTTTGAACAGAGATCTTTTCAGGTGGAGAGGGGGAAGTAGAACTTAGCATCAGAGTGTGATAATAATAATATTAAAAATGCTAATGATCTGATGGTCATTTCGAAAAATCCTTTCCAACAAACACCTAGAAGCCAAGAGGAACACGCGTGCCACATTTATGGCTTTACGGTTCTGGAGATTTCGTGATGCAGCAAGTGGTTTTCGCTTTTATATACATAGATTGAGCAATGTTCCTGTTGTAAGAAAATAAAGCAATGGCATACTTACACATGTTAAGTCTTTTAATTCTGAGTTTTATATAATTCAAAAATGCAAAGAAAATGCATATAGTTTTATATTTTGTCATATAATAACAAGTTCTTAAATGTTTAGGGAATTACATAAATACATTCTGCATTTGGTAGCCAGTAAAAAAATCCTCAAAGGTGATAATAGCAAACCACTCCATCTATACCAAGAAAACTGCATTAGGTTCATCCATATAACTTACCAAAATCTGAACCTGACTCAAAGGTGACTTTATACATTATTGCAAAAAAATTTTAGAGAAGAATATTAGTTTTTTGTACATTGTGTATAAAAAAATCTTAACAAATGCAGTAGGTTGCTCTTTGGGATGATACAGTTTCTCCTCATTTACCAACTGAAATCTGTTCCTAAGTGAACTTTGTGACAGAAAAAGAGACTGCGAAGTCAACAATTGCTGCTGTTCTATTGGATAAAAGTTTTCTTGTGCAGCAATTGTCGGTTTTATTCCCCCTCGGGCACAGAAATTTGCTCATAGATGCATGCTTTGGTTGGAACATGATTTTTTTTTATTACTGTCATATTTGAACAGTAATACCCTTTACATTATCACTATTTAGTTCTTGACATCCAAAGTAGATTTCAAGCAAATATATACATATATGTATAAAGCTTATAAGGAAAAGTTTTCCAATAAGGCACTGCCTTTGGATCATCTTGTATTCAGGCATTTTCAGAAACAGCTCATTTACCAGTGAATTTTGGAAGTCGTTTCTCATTGAAAGCAGCCATTCCTTCCTGACGGTCTCTGGTAGGGAGATTCTGTGTTTAAAATAAAAGTCAATCGTTTTATTTTTCATCGCTTAATCTTTTCAAAAGTTTTCAAGCCTTTCATTGATACACCAAAACTTCATCCCCAAACGTCCCAAGATTGTAGGCGTAGGATGATTGGGGCTGAAGCCCGAAACCTCTAGACTAGAGCATAGTCCTAGTTTTCAGCTCCTGTTGTTTCCCCCCCTCCAGAAAAAACTACCAATAGATGGGCTCTGCCTCTCAAAAATAAATAATACTCTCTAGGCTTTGTAATTGTTTTTATTTGGTCTACACTGTCCAAACTCATTGAAGCAGGGCTACCTCCAAATATATTAAATAAAGAAAAGGCAGGTGTAGTGTGGGATGTGTATATGTGAGTACACAAAAACTGTAATTTGGTTTACAGGGTTTCTTTTATGGATCTGATGGGTGTGGGTGCACATTTGTATTAATCAGAACCGAAGAATGGAGAAAAGTGTAACAATCCAAATGTCTGAGAAGCAAGAACACACACTGAAGCTAAAAAGAAAAAAAAATATCTGGCTGTTTTTACTAATCTTTGTAAATTGTTACACCACAACATTTGATAAAGTTTGGTGGGGGGCACAAGAAACAGAAAAGAAAAGAAAATACCTGGGCATAACACATTCTTTCAATAGCCATTCCTGAGGCAATATCAACCTGAAAAGGAAGGGGAAAAATCTTTTTGCCCACCTAAAGGAAAGCAGTATCAAGTTAACAATTCAGAAATAATATATTGAAGTATGGCTTTAATGAATTAATATCAATCATGCTGGACTTCCCCCAAGTTTCATCAGTGACACAAGACAAGGTTCTCTCTACCAAGCAAAGCTTTTAGCACATAAATAACAGATTTAATATAGGTGCAGCTACATTAGATACCCAGAGCAGATATTTTGGATTGTGCCAGAGTATAGAAACCTGTGGGAATTTCAGTATGAAAATTAGCATTACCTATGCAATTGCTATATGTACACACACACACTATCCATGTCTCCTACAATAACACTGGAACTAAATTACATTTTAAAGTTATACTTAAAATAACATTTAAGTGGACAACTGCTTAAATATGAGCCAGTAGTGTGCTGGCAGCTGCCAAAAAAGCCAACACAGTCCTAGACTGCGTGAACAGGAACAGAACTAAGCTCACAGGAAGTTTTAGTACCATTCCATAATGCCGTGGTAAGACCACACTTGGAATAATGCATCCAGTTTTAGTCACCACAAAATAAAAACAATGTTGAGACTCTAAAAAGAATGCAGAGAAGAGCAAGAATGAAGATTAGGGAACTGGAGGCTAAAACGAACAGTTGAGGAATTGGGTATGTGTAGTCTAATGAAAAGAAGAACTAGGGGTGACATAATAACAGTCTTAACTGTTTGAGTGGCTACCACAAAGAAGAGGGGTGGCAATCTATTCTCCAAAGCACCTACAGGCAAGACAAGAAACAATGGAAAGGAAAGATTCAACCTAGAATAGGAAGAATTTCTTGACAATTAAAACAATCAATCAGTGGGATGGCTTGCCTTCAGAAGTTGATGGTGCTCCATCATTGGAGGTTTTTAAGAAGAAACTCAATAGCTGTTTGTCTGAAATGGTTTAAAGTCTTCTTGGGAATTGGACTAGAAGACCTCCAAGGTCTCTTCCAACTCTTATTCTGTATTCTGTATAATTGTTGATCGATGATCTCTGGTGAGCCAGGGATAGGGGTCACCCCTCTATCCTTGTGCTCCTTGACCTCTCAGCGGC